GTGTGTGTGTACATGCGTACATGTGCTCGCGTGCATGTGCCCACTGGTATATATGTCTGTAGATTTAATGTGGTAGCAAGAAGAGGGCCTCAGATTCCCAGGAGCGGGAGTTACAGGCTCGACTTAGAGGTTTGTACTACCATACCTGTCTCACATTAGATTTTTCCTCCTCCAGTGAAAATTCCCCATCTGGTTACTCATTGTGAGCATTATCTTTCATTTAGTCATTTCATTGAACAAATTATTATTAAAGACCTCTTTAGTGCTAATCCCAGGTTGGCCACTTTTTGTATTCCTCTTCTTGACTGTTATACAAGTATAGTGATTTTTATATTCTGTAGTGGATAGTGTTAATGTTTCATTGTACAGACTCTGAATTCTGCCTCTGATTAAAATACCAACTCAGTGTGACTGGAGCCAAGGGTAAGGCTCGTATCTGAGAATGATGGGCACGCTCCTGTTTTAGCATATACCTAAAGCAGGTCCCTAAGGTCTAGCACATTTTGTTCACTTCAGCTCAGCTCCTGGTCTTGCTCGGTGTCTCAGGTCCTTTCTGCATCTGTCTCTAACCCTCTCGTGAAGTAGGAATCAAATCCTAGATGCTTACCTGTTCTCATGGCACAAGCTGGAGTCTTGGCTCAGATCCCTCCACCATCCAGCTGTTCTTTCCATTGGAATTCTCAGGCTCCCTTAATGTATGTTGTTTGGGGCTTAAACATGGATTTGAGGAGAATTTAAATGCATTTTCTGAGACCTTCTTTTCCCAATAGTTCTCTTCTCTGTGGATTTCTCTTCTCAATTGCCACTCACAGTGGCAGTTCTGAACTCTGTCGTTTGATAGTTCAACCTAATACACCAGGGCTTCCTGACTTACATTCCCCTTCATTGTGAATTGAATGGACTCTTGAGCTCTTGAGAATTTCTGGGAAAACACAAACTCACATCTCACCAATGTCATTCTTTTTCAGTGTCTTCCCCACACACACACCCACACACCCTTTCCATCTATTTTGCCAATCTTCAGGGCCTCACATAGTTCCAGAACCATTTTACTTTAGGTAAGCTATTATCCTAAGGAAGGTTGTAACATTTCTATCATTGTTGGAAACAATTCTTTTGTTGTGTTCATTGTCCCCTGTTTCCCTCCCTGTACCCACCTCATTCTTTTGACAAGGTCTTTGTAGCCCAAGCTATTTCCCAAGTCCTGGAATTGCAAGCATGAGCTACCAGCCATACTGAAAGAACCAGAATTCTTTGCCTTAACGTTTTCGTTTATTTGATAAATGTTGGTTAATTCATGTGTATTTAAAAAAATAATTGATAAGAATAATTTTAATGGGGACCTGAGGGTTGTTTTAGGGGTTAAGATTACTTTTTGCTCTTGGAGAGGGCCCAGGTTCAGTTCTCAGCACCCACATGGAGATTTACAGCTGTCTATAGCCCTAGTTCCAGGCTTCTGGTGTATTCTTCTCACTTCTTCAGGCACAAGGCATGCATGTACATGTGTCATTCATATTGCATGCAGGCAAAACAGACACGTAAGAGAAAAAAATTTAAAGTACTTTTAACATGTTAAAATGATTTCAATTTAAATGATAATAAAGCAAAATGTTTCAACTTGTTTTTTTAACAAGAAACTAATTTCATAATATTGGTAGGAAGGGCCAGGACTACAGATGATGGTTTTTTTCCTACCAACTTTTGAAAAAAAAATAGTAGTTGGTCAAAAGAAAAATTTTAAATTTTGTTTATGTTTTTGTAAGCAGGCAAGTGGGTGGATAAATAAGTGTGGAAAGATACCACAACTCTCCCCTCTAGAAAGATTCCAATTTAAAAAAATGTAGAAGGAAAAAGAAGCTTGAGAATTGACCATTAGAGTACTATAGTAGAGATTACTATAGACAAACTCCTTCAAAAGATACTAGAATTAGCAGGTGAAATTTAAAGTAGAAACTGTTTATGCACTCTCAAATTATTCTCTCTAATGTATTTGATAATTGCCAAAGGGAAAATTACATATTCACAGTGGCCAGTTGATCAAGACAAGTATCACCAGCACTGTTAACACATCACTTGATTTGATGCTCTGAGAAGAATGGGCCTGTCATTTCACTTGTGTCCTTCAAATAATGACCTCATTTTGATCATGAGTTGAGGGAGATCCTATTGATTAACTGATTTAGAAGTGTCAGTCATGGAAGACAAGGACACCTGCAAACTTGGGCCAGGTTAGAAGACTGGGGAGATATGACAAATAATGCAGATAAAGATCTGGACCAGCTCTTGACAGGAGGCCTTAGTGAGGAGACTCAATGCTGACTGGGGTCTGTACTTCGTACACTGACAGCTTTCCCCAGGACTGGAGAGGTGGCTCATCTGTGAAGCACTCATGCCTAACCGAGAATCCACATTTGTATCCCAGCTCCCACATCAGCTGCCTCACAAATGCCTGTACCTCCAAGACAGTGCTTCTTAACCTTCCTAACGTTGCAACCTTTTAATACAATTTCTCATGTTGTCGTGGCCTCCAACCATGCATTTATTTTTGGTGCTACTTTATAACTGTAATTTGTTACTGTTAAGAATCACAATGTGTGTTTTCAGATAGTCTTAGGTGACTTCTGTGAAAAGGTTTTTTTTACCTTCCCAAGGGATTGCCACCCTCAGATTGAGAACCACTACTCCAAGGATTCATACTCTTCTGACCTCTCAGACAGACAGACAGACAGACAGACAGACAGACAGACTCGTGCAGGTGCACACAGGCGCACACACTCACAAACACACACAGACACACACACACAAAGTTAATCTTTAAAAAAAAAAAATCCCTTCCAAGCAGTCTTTCCATGTAGCCCAGGTTGGGCTCAACTTCTTATCCCACTGTATCAGGTGCTCAAGTGCTGGTTTGTACGTGTGTGCCACCATGCCTGGCTCCACGTTAACTTCCATGAGTGTTATGCTGTGGTGCTGGGGATTGAAGCCAGAGCTTGATGTTTGCTCGGCCAGTGTGTAGTTCACCACTGAGTTACATCTGCAGCCCCAGTTTCTTAGTTTTGATAAGTGTTGATGTTGGGGGAGGCTGAATGAAGGAAGTGTAAAAAAAAAAAAATCTTTGTAACTTAAGTAAATCTAGAACTTATCTCAATTCATAAAATAGGGTTTTTAAAATGTTAAGTGGTTGTGGCTTATCTGCTGTCATATTCATTCCAACACAGATATTTATGTTGGTTCTCAAAGACCACTCCCAGCCAGCAGTGTCAGCCTCTGCTGGAAATTGGACTTCAGTAGGTCCCAGGTGATTAGCATGCATGCATGCATAAGTGGAGAACAGTGACCTATAGATTCTGTGCTATCCACAGCAACTTTAGATTGAAAGCATACCCAGAAGGCTGAGGCAGGAGGGATGGCTGCAAGTTTAAAGGACAACCAGGACTGTTTTGTGAGATTCTGTCTCAAACAGGGATAACTGGGTGCTGGAGAGAGCTTAGAGGGTAAGAGCACTTACTGCTGTTGGAGAGGGCCTGCGGTTGATTTCCCGGCACCCAAGTCAGACAGCTCACAATTGCCCAGAATTCCAGCTCCAGAGGAATCTCACACATCAAGTCTTTGTGGTCTCCACCACACAGGTAGACAGAAACAAACACAGGTACAGGTACATGTACATAATTAAAGATAAATCTTTATTTAAAGAGAGGAAACCTAGAGCAGCAATGAAAGGCTAAAGAGTACGTTTTATTTTATTTCCCTGATATATTGACAGTTATCAATAATGCTTTTCAGGGAGAAATGGCTTAAGAACACAGCTACACTCAGAGGGAGTGACTCACAGGACTCACAATTATCTGTTAACACCTGTCCAAGGGAGATGTGATGCCCTCCTCTGGCCTCTGTGAGCACTGCACTCATGGTGCACAGGTGTAATTCCAAGCAAAACACTCAAGCACATAAAATAATTTGTATTTTCGTCCTTAAACATCATTGCATTGGGGCTGGAGCGATAGCTCAGCAGTTAAGAGCACTAGCTGTTCCTCCAGAGGACCCAGTTCAATTCCCAGCACCCACGTGGCAGCTCACAGCTTTCTAACTCCAGTTCCATGGGATCTGGCACCCTTACACAGAATGCATGCGGGGAAAACACCAATGCAGATAACATAAAAATAAATGTTTTAAAATGCATTTTATCCATGTGTGGGTTGTGCATGCCTTTAATCCAGGCCCTCAGTAGATAGAGACAGGTGGATCTCTTGAGTTCTGGAACAGACAGGGCTACACAGAGAAACCCTGTGTGGGAGTGAAGAAAGCATTTTACCATAAAGGAAGACTGTAGTACAGCCAATATTGTAGCCATTTCCTAGCCTTCTGTGTATTATTTTCTTCTAATTAGACTCCCAAGTATACTTCAGACCTACTCTTTGTTCATTCTTTTTTCTTTTGTTGTGGTTGAAAGGTCCAGCTATGTAATCCAGGCTGACCTGGACTGGTTGTATAGCCTGGTCTGGCTTCTAGTTTAAAATCCTCCCCACTTATTGGTTTACAGGTTTGTGCCACCATGTCTGGCTGATAATGAATTGCTATTTTAAACAAAACATGGGTTCTTACCTTTATTTTTTTTCATTTTTAGACACAGTGTCCCTGCATTGTCTAGGCTAGTTTCAGACTTAAAGTCTTTCCACTTTGGCCAATTTAGTGCTGAGATTATACCATATCTGGTTAAAATTTGCATTTTAAAAACTGTCGTATATCCAGTCCTCTATCTCCCACTCATGCCATGGATTCACTGCTCACATACTTACAGGGGCACACCGTTAGCTTTCATGGACTCTGTCCTTTCCTCCTCCTCTCTACTTGGTCCCGCAGCAACTACAAATCTCGGGTTTGCAAATGGAATTGTATGTTGATTTAGAGAAATTGAAGAGAACTTGACAGCTATGTGTGTCAGTGTTTCAGTATCTTTACCCAAAAAAGTGATTTTTTTTCCTTGAAAATTGTCTCTACAGACTTACAACAGCTGTGCCAGGCTCTGCATAAACCAAGAGACAGTATGTCTAACAAGCACTGCTATGAAGACTGAAAACTGTGTGGCCAAAGTAAGTCACGGTGCTCAGCAGTCAATGTCATAGCACACTGCACAGAGCTGCACCTGTAGATGCCTTTCCTCAGGGTTCTCACTACAGGGGATCATACAACCATATATTTATGTAGACAATATAAGCAGGCACTATTTTATAAAGAGTGAACTGAAAGCTGGGTTTTCTTTCTCTTGAGTTGCAACAAAATCTTTTTATTATCCAGTTACGTGGGTCAGTGAGTTAGTATAGGATGATGAACAGTTTATTTTGTACCTTCCTTCCTGGCTCGTTTTTGTTGTTCATTTGTTTGTTTTGTCTACATAGCCGTTGTTGTCCTAGAACTCACAATATAGACCGCACTGGCCTTGAACTCAAGATCTGCCTGTCTCTGCCTCTGCCTCTCTAGTGCTGAGATTAAAGACAAGTACCACCAAGCCTAGCCTCCTTTAAGTGTGGATGTAGTGCACCAGAAGTAGACTAATGGTGACAGTCAAGCAGAGATCCAGTTATGTTGTGCCACTGTTATTTAATAAATGTCACATTTAATATGTGTCACATAGCAGCACATGCCTTTAAGCCCATTGGGAGGCAGAGGCTAGCCTGGTCTACAAAGCAAATTATAGGACAGCCAAGGCTATATAGAGAAACCCTGTCTCCAAAAACCAAAACCAAAACTAAAAGAAATGTCACATATGATGATTTTGAATAAAAAAGTGTTTTTATCTATCCATATGACCTAAGTCATTCATGTATAAATATGTGCTATATCTCTAAATACAAAAATAATATTTAAAATTAAAATCTTGAGAGCTGAAGAGATGACTCAGTGGTTAAGAGCACAGGTCGGTCTCGTACAGGATCATCCAGGGTTAATTCCTAGCGCCCACATGGTAGCCCACGACCATCTGTAACTGCGGTTCAGGGGACCCAAGGTCGTCTTGTGGCTACTGTGAACTTTGCATGCACATGGTACACAGGCATTGTTTCTGTTTTTCTGCAAAAATAATCTTTATTACCATTTAGGATTTTGTTGTTTTATAATTTTTCCAACTTTCAGCTTAATCTATTCTTTCTTACTATTAGAGGTAAGACTTTGTTTATATCATGTGGACTCCACCTTATAAAATTCAAGAAGAGCTGTCTTATTTCTTTTGGGTTATTACAACAAAATATAAACAGCTTATAAAAAATAACTTTTTAGATACAGTTCTAGAGGCTGGGAAGATGATTGTGAACAATAGATTCAGTGTCTCCTTAAATCTCGGTTGATGGAGCCTTGCTATGTAGTCTCAGGATTGAAGGAGTAAGCCAAGCTCTCTGGGATCTCCTACTAGTTCTAATCCTGAAGACTCTGTTCTCATATATTAGGTGGTCAGAGAGGAACATAATCAAATTTATTGTTATATAGTAGCAATAATAATTTCTATTTCCTAAAACATATAGTAATCTTTAACCCTGCTTTATTAGCTGAAAACATATTTCAATAGCCATTGGAATTAGCCATATGAGTAATGTCAGATTTATTTTAAATTATACCTGTAAAAGATAGGTTCATCAATTGTGTATTAACTCCACATCTCTCTTTTTTTTTTTTTTTTGGTTTTTCGAGACAGGGTTTCTTTGTGTAGCCCTGGCTGTCCTGGAACTCACTCTGTAGACCAGGCTGGCCTCGAACTCAGAAATCCACCTACCTCTGCCTCCCAAGTGCTGGGATTAAAGGCATGCGCCACCACTGCCCGGCCTACTCCACATCTCAATTTGCTACAAAAATGAGGATTAATATATGTTAAATTTAATTTTCAGTTACTTAGTAACCACTTTCATGTGCCACTTGAACCCTGGGTGGAGACTGGGTGTGGAGTGTTCTCTCTCTAGTGTGGACATGCTATTCTCACTTTCTTCACAAGTGAGTTCCTTCTGGCTGAACAAGGCAAACTCTTAGCATGAGCACCAATCCAAGGACAGGGCGACAATGTAATGAGTTTCATTGAGAGCTGGCCAACTGAGCATCTGCTCCGTTTGTTTTTCTGTACTTGGCAAGCCAGTGTTTCTGAACTCCTTAGCTATGTTGCTGTATGTCTGTACCGTGTGGAGGTGGCGTTGTTTCTTTTTCCACTCTCTACTTGAGTGTTGCACTGTTAGAAATCTTCTGGCATCTGGCACAGTGCTGTAATTTCTTCCGTGCTCTTGAGTGAGGAAATGTTTGCTCATTGCTGCTCATCATCAGTTTGTCTCCTTGCTCCCAGATGGTGACCTTCTCGTCCCGTTCCTGCCTGTCTTAACATTATTCTGACACCTATTTTCTCTCATTGCCCCCATAACCACTCTAATTGAATAATGATTTCTATAATTTCCAGTTGGAACACAACCAACTTCCTGCTTCTTTTTATTGGCCCACATCCTGTCTTCTAATTCCTTACTTCAGATTTGAGCCAGATCGTCAAATAAAAATACATTACTGAAAAAAAATGTTTACTGCAGTAGCCTCCACTAGCATGGCAGCCATGAGAGTTGTCCTTTCTCATTGCTCAACATGTCCTGTCTGTCTTATTATGATTTCATGCTGTCTCTCTGGGCCTCATTTACTGCCTGACCTCTGAACGAAGTGACTCAAAGTTACATTTGTGGATCTTTAAACATTTCTCTATTCCTTTTCCTCATCTTTACTTCTTGATAATGGTTTGTCTGCCGCGGATTCAGACTGTGCTCCAGTGCGGCCTGCACGCCCAACCGTTTCCCTGTGAGAACCACTGCAATACAGTAAAGCCAGTGCGCTGCCCCTTGCAGTTCAAAGCAGCTGAATTCCAGCCAGAGTAATTTTGGTTTAGGTATAAGTACTAATTATATAGCCTTATACTTTTTATTAAATATTACTTATTGGCATTTTACAGAAGGTATTGGTTCTTTTCAAAAGCAGGAATGACTCCTGTAGTATCCTGTGTGGCCCTCCTCTCTTGGTTTCTGTAGTTTCGCAGTTCCTGTGTGGGAAGGGCATTCCCTTTAATTTGCAATAAAATGTAAGACAGCACAATTGTTTCATTAGTTACCTTAGGTTGACAGCAGTCTCCTGAATCTTTAGCTTGAAGGAGTAAAGAAGCTCAAGAAAATATTTTAAAATAAAAGTGGGGAGGGGGTTCAGATAATATTTGAAGCCATGAAGTGTCTTATATATATATAGTTTGCTTTTTTTGTTTTGTCTGTCTGTCCATCTCCTGTAACCCTGGCTATGTGGATCATTCTGGTCTTGAACTCACAGAAATCCACCTATGCTGGGATTAAAGGCACACCCTGCCATGGCTGCCTGGCTTGAGTTTGAAGCGTTTTGTCTGCTTACAGCACTGGAGTTTATGAGGTTTGTTTGGGGGTGATGAGCTCTCTATTTATGGTAGCTTTAAATGGACAGTCATTACTGACTGTCAGCTTAGTCTGTCAAATCTATAACCACATGGTACCTAATTGTCAACCTTCATGGTTTTTAATTATGAAAGAAAACTGAGAACATTAATTTTTATGTTATCTTTCTATTGACTTTATTGATGTACTACAGAAAATTTTGGTTTGAGGCTTTTCCATAATTTACCTTTGTACTCCACACCCCTTCCATAAACATGTATAGTTAAATTGAGTTGTTCAAATGCCCTACCTTGATTCCTGGCCTCGACAGAGATAGTTCTGTCTTTGTTTGGAATAAGCCCACTCAGTGGTCTTGTATACATTCTGTATTTTTTTTTGTTTTTATTTTGTTATTACTGTTTTTTATTTGAGACTAATAATCTGTTTGAAACTGAGACAGAAAAATGTGATGTTCCTTTCCACTCACTCCAGATTTTGATAGAAGACTTGTTTTATTTATTTCCAAAATTATATCCGCAGGAAACAAGCTGTTTAAATTCAGATTATGCTGAAGCAAAATGGTCCTGGTATGAGAAGCAACGTGCTGTTTTACGAGCACAGAGTCCCTTTTCTCATAACTGATTGATAGTAAATATTTTCCTGAAGAATTATTGCCAACCATGAACAGTGCAACTGTTTCACTTTTTTTCCGTGCTACTTGCTGTACCAGCCATTGTCGGTAATTAAGATCTACAATTCACAATGCAGACGTTTGCACTTCCTCTGGGTCTGTGCTATTTATAAGGCATTTCAGCTGTTCAGAGTTTCTTCTGAGTTTTAAACTACATGTTAACAGGCTTCTTTAATATACTGTTCCACAAGATCAAGTCAGATGTCTGTTCACACAGGCCCTCTGACAGACCTTTACTTAGCTTTGTGGTGACACAGCAAGGTGATTGTATCATGAGGGCCAGTGTGATTGAGAAAACTTGGAAGTATAGTACTGGGTAAAAAAAAGCCAGGAATGAAATTCAGAACTAACCTGTTTTCTTTCATTTTTAGATGTTCCATCTAAATGGTTACCAAGGTTTTAAGAAATACACAATCAGGTGATTTATTGGTTAGAATTTGTGTATTTGTCAAATTAATGTGAAAATATATTCCCTCTAGTTGTGCATGACTTTTTGTCTCAAATGATTTGGAACAAAATGGATTAACAGATTGATAACACATTTGTTGTATAACAGAAACCTGAAGTAGTACATACCATTGTGATGAAGCAAGTGTCAACAGAGATCTTGGTCTGTGTTAAAATTGATCAAATTCAAATTAAGTCCAAACGAGAATTGATTTTTAAAAAAGTTCAGACCCATCCAAGACTCGTCATGAGTGATCCCCTAGACTGGAGTCACAGTGCAGGCGTGCTGCCACAGGCACGACGAATTGTTAAACATGCGAGAGAAAGGGACAAGAAACTGAAAGCTGTCAACAAAACGTGTTGAAAACTTTGCCTGGAGTAGAGCTCAACCTGCTTGTTCTTAAGCCTGGAGTTCAGCTGCATTGATTGTGCATACTGGCCTCCAGCGTCTTCCAACAGTAGCTCTGCACAGACAGGCAGGACACAGGTCTCAGCGCTGCTTCTCCATGGCCCTTGAATAAAGACAGAGCTGCTGAGAAAGCCATTC